GTAAAAGCCTGCGCATTAGTTAGGTGGTCGGCAATGATCATGTTCTTAATATAGGAAACGTTGAATGTTCTAGAGCTAGACTAGTGCCCAGGTTTTTCTAGACTCTACGTATCTATTACTTAACTTTAAGATGATGTGATGTTTCCGAGTATGAAAATGCTATTTTATTTGTGTTGTAAAGGAGTATTGTATTAGTGTAGTTGATAGGTTTCGATTAACTGAGATTTTATGATTTATGCACAAGGTATAAGGTCTGAAACTGGAAAAGGTCTTTAAAAGATTTCAGCTTATGTGAAATATTTGTCATTTTTGTTGATCAATGTTAAAATTATTATTTTTGTTAATTCTCTTCATACATCGCTTTAATAAAATATAAAACTAAATAGTTTATACATACATACAAATAGTTTATTCATATCATTCATCATTCTAAATAGTTTATTCATACCAACATACTCGACTACAATTTTTACGCCAAAAACTACTAATTTAGTGTAGTGTAGTGAAATTACATTGCAGTATGGCTTTTAGTAGGTTTTTTAAAACTGCTTCCAATCTTTGTACGTAACACAATACTCAGTTAAAACCTCCATAATCCTCTGTCTAGCCTCTGAAGGATTTACCAGGGATTAAATTGTTTTTCTAAAACCCAGCACAACTTTGGTCATTTGACCTGGTCAATGACTCAAATAATTGACATGGTTCGTCGTTAATCCAATTACGGGGCGTCTGAATAAGGTTTTAATTAAATTCTGAATCAGTTCTTAAAAATGGCGGCTTCTACCGTTTTGGTCTTAGTATGTTTGCTATTGAAATTACAGTCGTGATTAAAAATCCGTAATTTGTTTCTAAATACCATCATACCATAGGTAAAATGCTCTGGTAGTATTGCTCTTTAGTCGAAGTTAGGGTATTTAAATGACCCATTTTCATTACTTACCTAACATTATCGTAAGGACTATGCAGATTTTGTGTTTTAAACTTTGCCCTACTACACAGTATTGTCTGTGTCGTGGGTACATTTACATACATACATACACATCTCACGCAAACCCAGAGTAACACTTTGTATGAGTAGATTACACAAAAAGTTGTTCCTAGCAAATCGAACCAGCCAGCTGCCCAGTGCCAATGTTGTAGTTACTAGTTACGCCAAAAAAAAAAACGAAACCAGTCTTTTCATATAGAAGAACCAGAATTACTTCTTTAATAAGGCTTTCTTCTTCTGTTTATGGCTAAAAAAGGGATGTGTACTTCCTTAGCTCTCTAAATACTACAAGAGATGTGCGTTTTGAGGGGGCTAGTCATCATATGACCTCGCTGCCCAGACTGAGTCCAAAGCATGTGTCAGACTCTTACTGACTAAAACCACCCAGTTCCTTCTGCCCCTGCCTCCATTGGGCCCCATCTGTGGTAGTGCACTGGCTCTTTGAGGCGCGTGGGGAAAGCCACGCCGTACGCTCGGGTCTGGCTCTGGTCGGGCGGCGAGCTGCTCATACTCGCCTTCCACAGACCCAGGCTTACGATGGCCGGAGATCATCGCTCGGAGTATTTTGCGCGCCTAACGCACCGAATTCTGTTTGTATCCTTGATTACACCGACATCAACAAAAACAAAAAAATACAAAATAGTCATGTTAATACTGTCAGTCATGGAGTGCAGGAAACGAGTTTAGCATGTTACAAACATTCGTGTTCGCAAGGAATATGCATAGCGTTAAGGACAAGTAATGCAACTGGTTCACAGACTATTCGATTTCCTGTTTGCAATCAAGTAAAAACTTGTAAAGTTTTGCGAACTTTCTATGTTTCTACTTGGAGGTAGGCGACTGAATGATGGTTTCGGTACGTCTACCTATTAAATCTGTCCGTTTTGCTTGCTTGGTATGTTATGTGAGAATTTTTTTAGACCTTTTCCGCGTTTTGGAGTGGAAGTTTGTGCTAGCGATAAAACGTTTGTAAATAAGTTAGTCGAATATCGATTGTGGTTTTGTGATTTAAAGATAAAGAAAATGTCAAGGCTGTGCTAGGTCACGCTCTTGAGAGTCTACCTCAGACTTAAGGGTTATTAGAGTGAGTTTAAGTAATTATTGATTCTTGACAGATTTTCTCTCCTCGTTGATCTACCTTATTTAATACCCATACAATATATAGGAAAACAAATACAGAAATAGAGGTTTCTGATAGGAAGATTTTCCTGCAATCCTCCGATAAGAGGAATATAAGCGACACCAGACTCCGTAACTAAGTAAAAGAAAAAAAATACAGAAATAACAGAATCAACAAAACTTAAACCAAATAAGATTCCTAAATTTCCTAATACTACACAAAAAATAGCTACACAAATGTAACATGACTTTTAATTAGGTACGTAAAGGTAAAAAAAAATATGTTCCTAGTAGCAAAACCTATGCTAATAGACCAACTATCAATATTTCGCACTACAATCTAGCCTTATAATAAGCGGCTGACTGGAAAGGAGCGTAAAATATAAGTCCGATTGCACACGCCTGTTATGGTGCAATCGTGTAGCTGAGTGTTGCAACTGCGCTGGCAACACACGAAGTAAATATTGCTTCCAGTGTTGCAGTATAAGGATTACATGTGTGGGAAGCCTAATTGAAGGTATTATGCAAACGAGGCGCCACTCGAATGTGGGTTAACCTTTATGTAGACATTTAGGTATTGTTCGTTAATGGATGGTGATGAAAAAAGATACTGGTAGCAAATATTTATGTAAGAGATGCCTTATTATTTGCAATACCTAACCTAACCAAAATAATAGAATACAAGAAAAAACTTTGCCAGTTTTTACTCTATTCATCATCATTTCATTCACATGATGTCTAAGACGCAGGCCTCCCCTAATGCCTTCCAGATCGTTTGGTCCCAAGGGAACAGCATCTAGCAACTTCCTTCCTTTGCCAGCCAAAGAGCTTTGAAATAAATTCGCGGCTAACGTGTACTTAAATAGAGCAAATAGTTTATAAATAAGACCTTATTTGTATTAGTTATATAGAATAAATTGTTTATTGTGCTAGCTGTTAGGTGTTTTTAAAAATCGTTTTGTTATTCAAAAAGCTCATTAACACAAAATATTGTTTATAATCAATGCCCGAGTAGCGAAAGTTCTGGAAAACTAGTCCGAAACCAGCCAGAGCAAAAGACTTCATTTGCAAAAAAAAAAATGAAGTCATTACAAAAAAAAAATACAAAAAGATCGACCTCGGAAGTACTTACGATAGATGCCCGATAAGTATTCGCATAACGCGGTAATCTTCCTTAAAATAAGTATGAGTGCTGTCGTAAACCCAATGCAAGAGCTAAGCACAAAAACGTGATTGTAAAGCTTGTTGCCGGCATGGGAACCACGTTCACTGCATTGATGTAATAGTACATGGTCCATGCGTACCGCGGAACAAGAGACAGACGAATCATACTTTGAAGTAGTCTGTTCGTGTATTAAAATACTAAAGATTACTAAGTCTCCAGGCCGTATTTGGATGCATTTTTAAAAAGATTATGCGAAAAGTCTTCTGATAAATATTGAAAATTAAGTAGTTTCCTAGGTCAAAAATAAATTATTTCGACGTTTCAATAAAATAAAATATTGAAAAATAACTATACTTTCATTCATCGATCGGTCGATACACTAAATTTTAGATTTTTTTAGCTAATTATTAAGAAATAAGTAAGCTGTTTGACGAAAAAAAGTTATGACGTCATAGCTCAGTTTTTCATACAAATTTCATAGAAATGTATCGTTTTTGACGTTTGGATAAAAGTATTGAATTTGACTAGTTGGAAACTACCGTATTACTGCAGCATGACTGATCCATATCTGCAGTAGTTTTTAGACTAAACGTAAAAGATGATTCTGGTGTAGCAATGACTAATCCACAGACTGCGAAGGCATCCGATGTGTTCTAAAATTTGCGTATGACAGAGCATTTTATAAATAAAAGGTGATTCGACAGACAAGATTGGTTTGGATAAACTCATAGTGTAAATTAGCGGTTGGTTGTAACATTAATATTCCGTTCTAGTATTTTTCTCACCTCCTGTTTAGCCGTGTGGTCAAATAAAGAAGGAACTATATCACTTCTCAGCCTCCTTATCATCTGTAGACACAAAATTACTTACCTTTAATGCCTCCATCGTGACTTGAAAGAAAGTTGCAACCTTTTGCCAGTAAAAATATAAAATAGTAAGCAAATCTTTTAAAGAAATACATTCCAAAAACTGCTAATATTAAAACTTTATTTTATTTATTTATTTTTTGCTACATAAATAATATATTTATGTACTCCTTCAGTAAGGGGAATATATGACCGATACATAAGAAGATATTATATTAATTAATTGCCTAGCCTTAGACAACGCAAAATGAACTATGTATTTGGTGTTTCGTAACAAAAATATAAACTGCTTAATACAAAGGAAAATATGTAATCGGATAGCGATAATATTTTGCAATCCGTAAAGTGTTTAATTCTTAAATTCCTCCAGTAAACACATGCCCCGTACCATTCTTTGGCGTTAGTGAATGAAATTTACCAGAGCTTTATGTAGCTGTGAATGATTTGATACAAAATTCTACGTAGTACGTCTAATGTAAACGTTTCAGAATTACGTGATCTTGTGCAGTTTATTTGCCAAGACGAAAGGTCTCGTTAAATTTTTAAACGAGGTTCGAGACTACCAATCTTGTGACTACTAAAAAAATCGGAACCTACAGTTTTTGAAATTGTCAATACTCTTCGTAACGTTCTGACTTAGTTTTCCTACGACCCGATGCCTTCGGCAGTTGCTCTTTCGAGAACACTCTCTTCTTAATTTCTATTCTATACTTTTTACATTTTGTATACGTATGTTTAATAAAATGTACTATAAGTTATAATGTAATAAATACCTCGCAATACTTAATCATATATTTTATTTCTTTATCAATTCCTCACTACTATCGAAATCATGGTAACTTTATGTAACACTGTTTCGCAGCGGCGGTGGGAGGTTTCAAGCCGGCGCAGGCGCAGACGTCGCGGCGTGCGCAGCCTCAGGAAAAGATCAGGTCGGTATCAACAATACTTCCTACATCATTTGTTGTTCGTCACCCGTCACGGACGGACGTACGCTAAGCCCTTTATCTTATCACTCATTATTGTAAAGTGGACTTTATTGTGCTGTTTTTAAGTGTATGTGAATTAAAACTCGTATGTCGACCATTGGATGTGTTGAAAGTGAATCGGTGTAAGTTTCCAAGTGATTTTTGGATTTATGTTATGCAAGTTTGGGTTTTTTGGAAGGGTTTGTATGCGCTTTATTCGATGTAGGTCAATATGGACAATGAAATCTTGGTAATAGTTGTGTAATCTTTTGACATTTCATACTTGTTAACGTCATTGCGTTAAAAACAATGTACCAACAATCAATCAAAGTTCGATACCACAATAACTTTGACACTGACAAAGAAATTGAAAGTGATGGAAACAATAAACGTCCTTGAGTATGCAACAGACAACGATTAAGGAAAATATATACACAGCTGTACCAAGTAATATAAAATGAAAACATATTTACTTTACAAGCCAATTGTTATTTACCTTTCGGGGAACAATGACGTATGATTCGTAATTATATGCATACTCATTGCTCAATGCAAAAGGTTGTAGTAAATTGCGTGTCTGTAAACGTGCTAAGGTCGTTCTGAGATTTATTCCATTAAAGGTGTATGAAATAAGGTTTATTTTGTTGTGGATAGTTCTTAGAAATCTGTGAAATATGGTATATTTTTGAACGGGCTTATTGGCAAACTTTAGGGAAATTACAGTCATTGAAATATTATAAACTTTATATCGATATTTACTCCTCAAAACGCCAGGGTAGGCATTCAGGTATTCTTTTAAAAACAACGCTTGCTAAATCATTTCATATTATTTCAAAAAGACTTCGCTGAACTCAAATAATTCAGCGCGACATCTTTATCACCGTGGTAATCGGATTGAAATGTCATAAATCATATTATGAATAACACATTATGTTTGTATAATAGTGTTGTACTTGACCGCTTTTTGACGTCTGAGATTTATCGACAATAGTCATCGACATTTGCTCCCTTCACTATTGTATTGTATTGAATTGAGTAGCGAGTAATGTGCAGATTCGTTGAAGAAACGACTTAGCAATTAACTGTTAATGGTTAGTTTATTCTTTATTCGTTAATCGTTGTTGTTGTTATTATTGTTATTGTCATATTGTTACGCAGTTTTTGTTTTAATTGTTAGCTTTATTTGGACTTAATTTGCGTGAAGGTCGTCTCATATTTATTTGACTATCAATACAAAGTAATTTTTAACTGACTCCTGTATAAAAATTTGACGCTAATTCAATTAATTTTCGCACTTATCAGATACTGTATCTAACTTCTCAGTAAAATGCTTCCGTATCCTTATAAGATAAGTTAAATTGTAATCGTTAATAGCGACATGATACCTTTAGTTTGCAGCTACTATTTCTTGAAGGTAACCATTACGAAAGCATTCTCAACCACCTTGTAGTCAGACTTAGATAGAATGTTAGTCTGTTGTGCAATATGTAAGTTGCGAATAAGCCCTTTCTAAATCCTATCGTATATCTAGCAGGATTAAATTGGATTTCCTTAAACTATTCTTTTTAGGCACAATTTCAAAAGTAATTCTCAGACTTGGGAAAGGCTTTTGATACTGTAGTTGCCTACGGAATTCCAAAATGTTGTAATCCCAAGGTCGAAAAACTATTGCTAATTGCGAATGTTCTTCGCATCGTCGATAACCTTCGGATTGTATGCACAAGCGAAGTTTCTTTTCACCTGAATCATCATTGCGGTTTCTGCAACTTGTCTAAATATAAACTAATAAATTCACTCTTATTTCCCATTTGTATTGACATTATTAATAAGGTCAGGTGCCTTACAAATACATATGACTGCGAAATGTATTGAAACTGTCAATTCAAAATCTCTATGATATATGTATGTAAGTGGAGGTAGGTTCAGTCTAGCATTTCAGAAACGAATAAATTGAGCAAGCAGGACACTGGCAGTGGTTAACAAGCATAATAAGATTTCAAGTTTGTTTGTAGAACAAAAGTAACAAACAATGAACACGTAACCATAACGCAAATAAAAACAATACATATATCAATATACAGCAAATTGTTACCACTAACGATGTTACAAAATACGATTACCAAACTAGGTCCAGACAAAGAGCAGTGATGTCAACAACATCAACATTCAATTACACAAACCGGCGAGTGGCCGAAAATGGTTGAAAGTGTGCCACGGAGAGAGGGGCAACTAGTGTTCGACTGGCGTTCGCTGGCCTTGCCCCACATTGAGTTACGTGACTGCGGTAATAGTTGCTGCACAATGAACGTGACAAGTGTGGCTATGATTTTTGATGATGATGATGATTTTGGGAGGTTAGGTTAGGTTATGTATAGAAGGTGTATTTAATCTATAAATGCTTTCAAAAAAGTAAGTCATTGAGGTCATATATTATAAGTTCGTATTGTTCCCAGATCTGGCTCAACAAAACCTCGTCGCCCAGATCGTGCCGTGTACGTGCCCCGCGCCCTGCGAAACGCAGAGAGTGCACAAACCGAAGAAAACAATAAGGATACTAACAACCATCGCAGAACTAGTCACAGTGCGGAAGGTGTTAAGTGTCCCAAGTCACCCGCGCCCAAAGAAAAGTCACACCACGGCACGCCCAGAAAATCTATAGACAAAGCGTTCTGCAATGTGTATACGCCACCACATCTCAGGAATCAAAGATCTCACACGGCCCCAAGCATAGAGGAACCCACACCGAGCGATACAAAGGAATCTGTGCCTTCAGGCTTACAAGTGCCAAATAGTGATAGTGCAATATCTTTTAGTGATAATAGTTTTATTAACGACATAGAAGTAGGCGATAATTTTTATATAGGAGATTATTTCGCTAACGGACAGTTAGGATTCTACAGTCCGAACTTATACAGCGAGTACGCGGATAATAGTCGCGAAAACGCGACCGACAATAGTGACTGGAGATCCAATGATTCCGACGAAAATATGGCGCTGAACGAATCGAATCAAAGCAATAATATTATCGATAACGATTATTTGTACGCTAAGGGTGAAGATGTTGAGAAGAATGAGTTGAAACGAGCCTCGCAAGAAATTAATAGGAGTAGCAAGAGAATTATTAAACAGAGCTTCCATTCTGACGTGCTAGTTATATCGGACACAGTTGACAGTGTCACAGAGAAGAATGAGCCGGAACCAGCGGCGGTGGTAGAAGAGAAAGAAACTGAGGTGGTTAAGAAGACAAAGCCTAAGCTTGAGGCGAAAGTGTCTTTGAAGCGAGAAGAGAACGATTGGGACGCAGTTTTCGATGACAGTGGAGAGTGCCTTGATCCTTCACTTCTTGAGGAGCTGACGACTACAGTTGGCAAGGTCCACATCAGCAAGCCAAAGAACTGTTACGATCAGTATCAGACGAGAGGTCAGCAGCTCTTCAACGGTCCTTATGACGAAACGTTCGGTCATGTGGTAGAAGTGTATGACTTTCCCAGTGAATTCAAAACGAACGATCTGTTCTCCTTGTTCAGTGAATACAAAGACACTGGTTTCGAAATTAAGTGGGTGGATGATACTCATGCGTTGATCGTGTTTAGCAGCGCCAAAATTGGTGAGTTACTTTTTAATACTTTTCCTAAACTTACTCGTATAATAAAAATAGGTTCACATTAGTCGAAAGCCCTTATACCATATCATTAATTATTTAACATGTCATGTTTATAGTCACTTATTTTCCCTTATTTTACGCTTTGTTTAAAGTCATAAAAATCCAGGAAGTTTTTAACAGTTGTCATCGAATACTTAATACATACAAATAACGACAATAAAATCACCGATTACTTAAGTTATAATATAATCGGAACGTGTTCAACCGGACGGAATGACACCAATAACATTAAAACATCAACTCGTGACCTCGATGACGTTACGATGACCAAAACAAAAATATTGCCATCGTTGTTTTCTTGAATATTTCTTATGAAACTGGGTTTGTTTTTTCGAGAGCAGATATTGTCTTCTCCTGCCTAGGCTGAGGCGAGAGGGAGTGTCAGATTCTGGATGACTAGAAACGACCTTGTTCCTTTTCCTGATCCGGATCGGGAGCGCGATTCATCACTGCTCTTGTAAACGACTTGATTTAGTCCTAATGGAATGGAAGAATATGATCAAGTTACCGCATATAGTCTTATTTATGTGGTTCCATGATTTTCTGTTTAATCTTCACCGTAGAATCTAACGAGTGGATAGCATTTGCCGTGGTTAGGAAAAGTGATGAGATTGTCCCCAAAAAATTATGTACCATTTTAATCCACTACTATAATTTTCTGAAAGAAATCGTACGCCGAACACCGAAGTAGGTAAATAATATTGTTAAAAATTACGTGTTAAGTCGCACTACAATAAAAAACATATATTTATCTGATACGGAAAATGTATCGTAATCGTAATTTATTGTTTATCGTACATGTTATATTATATTCATTAACTTATCTTTATCAACATAGTTTGTCAATTGACTTTTACGCCCTTCTGTGAATTAAAGGTTTTACATTTCCACCTAATAATATTATACTTCATGCAACGGTACGTAATGGTCGTTAGATGCTATTAATATCAACAAAACCAGTATACAGTTACACTATATACTTCATGACAACTTTATTTCCGTTTATCAACCTGTTTACCTAGGTCACCGTGAATTGCAATACAAGGTTCAGTGTTTAAATATTGTACTCTACCACTATGTCATTGTCAGTGTGTTGGGGAGACATTTAATCTATTGATTCATTTTATTTTTACATTTTGGAAAAGTTTAGAAGTACAGCCACAGCTAGATGAGTCAAAGTCAAAAGTCAAAGTCAAAAATCATTTATTCCAATTAGACCTTTACAGGCACTTTTGAACGTCAAACAAAATTTAAAACAAAAAATAGTGTCGGTCTGTCGGTCAGTCCTCTTAGTGAAGCTATTTGCTCGTTCCAAAGTGTAGATTCCGATGGAGAAGAACGAGCAAGAAACTCCATGGTTTTTACTCTTTTCACTCTTTTTAAATCAGTTTCACATACAGATTCCTTTTACAAACAGTTGGTTCAATTATGTGAGAACAGTGTAACACTAATATTTATCCAAATATAAAAATAAATGAAACAATATGAGATAAATAATATGAGACTTTTTTTTGTGAGGGGAAAATCATCAAATGACTTCTCCCGCACAGGGCCGGGCGGGAGGGAGTGTCAGACTCTTACTGACTAAAAACCCCCCTGTTCCTTCTCCTGCTCTGTGCCGAGGTCGCGGTGCCTCATTGCGCTTACTCCGCAACCCCGGCTAAACATCAGCCCTATAGGGCCCCGTCTGTGATGGTTTATTGGCTCTTTGAGGCGCGCGCGGAACGCTACGCGCCGTACACTCGGGCCTGGTTCTCGTCGGGCGGCGAGCTGCCCTTACACGCCGACCGCAGACCCGCGAATAATATGACACTTGAAGGCCATTTATATGTAGGTTTTTACACATAGTTTTTACATTACAAAAAGTAATTCGTCGTGGTCGTGGTCGTTCAACGTGTAGGGTTAAGTGGGAGGCGTGTGTTCAGCAATAGAGGTGTCATGGCTGATGATGACTGTTTCTTTTGTGGCAGCCTTTCAAGGATATGTCCAATTTCAGCTATAGTTCCGTGTCAGTTCAGAATCTCCTGCCCATATAATTCTGTATTTCTGATATTTGTTCTTACTTCCCAATCTGTGTGCTTGACATAAGTTGGGGGACCACCCCTTATTTACTTATATACTAAGAAAAATGCCTCTTGCTACTTTGACCACACTTTATTTTTTATCAATACCGAAACTGCAAATCCCCTTTTTTCCAAGCTAATGTTATTTCAAGTGCAAAATATATCAGTGCCATTTTGTTATCAGTTGTCAATACTGTTTACTTTACAGATAGTGAATTATTTTTGGTTGTTGATAAAAATACGAATTGTTACTACGACCTGTACGTAATCTAGACAAGTCGTATTGATAGATTTGATTTTGCTTATGCGCAGGTTTGAGAATTGATAGTTTCTTTTTAAAGTAAAACTTAATGAAATAACCTAAATTTGGACCAAAATTACATATTTATTTATTATAATGAGGTAGGCTCTCGGCTTATGTATACAAAGTAGTTAAAAGTCTTGGTTATAGGTAGTAAGGTCTTATACATTAGCCAGTTACGAGCTAACCAACATTTTGTGATATAACCTTATGAAGTTTGTTAAAAATTATGTTTCTTTAGCGAATTTAACTTAATTTATATTTATAATTTATTTGGGTTCATTATATTTCCCAACCAGTCTGAAGAGTTCCGAAGAGAAGACAGGAAAACTTGAAAAATGTGTTTATTTTTCTTAACATTAGATTTTTCCCAACTCTATCTCGGAAAATGTTTTTTCGCAGAATAAACAAGTTAGTGTAACCCAAATTACGTGTAAATGTGTGCTACTTTTATGTTCTAATTTCCTATTTTTCGCTTTAAACATCTTAAACCTCATTTCTAGTTAAAACAATTTTTTAATTTTGATCAAAGATAATACGATGGCAGAGAGGTCAATGGGAACAGATTAAAAAGATAGAAAGACTCATAAAACTATTACTCATAGTACTTATAAAATCCAATGAAAATAGACAGAGAAAAACGCACAAACGAATATAATGCGTATAGATAATATTTTTACTTTTTAACAACGTAAATAATAACACCAAAGAATTTGTTTTGACTAAGGCTTATTCATTACAAAATTTCAATAAAGACAATACCCTAATTTAGAACAAATCTGAACACACAACAAATATGCTGTTTTTATAATCAATTATCCTTTGGAGTGTAGATTATAAGAATATTTATGTATTTCATGTATGTATATAATGTGTATGTACCACATTTTTGTCAATCTGTCTGTCTAGTTGTTCCAGCTAATCTTTGGAACGGAATTTAATTGGTAGCTAGCTGATTTTAATAAGAAGTAATTTGGATATTTTCATTTTAGTAAAAAAGTAATTTATTTTTATTTTGGAACTATAGCGGCCCGCCCTCACCTGGCACTGTTCCAACTATCTCGCTAAAAGGAAAGAGTTACTTTTTGCCAATTTCCCTTTCTACTTTTCTAATATTTTCTTTGATTAGAACCTTCTCCTGAAAATCAATAAAGTAGCTGAGTTATGTGCATACCAACACCTTTTGAGATTCACTTTTATATAAAAACAAAATACAGTGTACCAGCGCGATAACGATTATCAAATGGTTGGGAAACCCCGCTAAACAACTTTCAACGAGTTATAAAATACATAGTATATTATTATTTAATTCCATTGCATAAATATACGTAAGTCTGGTATGTGAAGTAGGTAAAGTCATTACTGAAGTTAATTGACCGAAATGGTAAGGTACGGTGCGCTCGCGCAGACCGTGGTTTACTTGGCTGATTGGCGCGGTTTCTATTGGCTGGTAGTTATGCATCTATTACACCGACAGCTTGTTATTACAATTGTGTGTATGTAACGTTTTTTTTTGTTTGTTTTGTTAATACTCTGTAAGAAATTAATCTACATATACTCATATTATAAAGAGGTAAAATTTGTAAGTTTGTATGTAGGGGGTAATCTTTGGAACCGCTGGTCGGATTGCCAAAATTCTTTCACTGGTAGATATCTACAATGTTCCTGAGTGAGGATATAAAACATCACGCTACGATCAAATGGAGCTGAACAGCGGGTGAAACTGCGGGAGAATAGCTAGTTAATTATACTTTGAAGATTATAGTAACTTATGATTTGATAGAGATTTTTGTTTAAACAACTAACTTGTCAGTCGTTCAGGTTTATACGAAGAAAATGGCATGTTCTTTCTGATGATATTTGCAAAATAATTTAAAAGTGCGTATGTACTTATTTCGTTTTTGCTCTTAACATTGATCGCCAAATTAATCAAAGTTTTGCAAGTTGAAAATAATGACAATTAGTGTATCGTCTGTCTTCAAAACGTTAATTTTAGGAATATATACATTGTAATGTAATAATCTAAAATATATACTGATTGTAACATTATTTATAACAATATTTATTGTAAATGCAATAATACATTCTATCAACACATTTCAGTTCGTGACTTGGCAATGTAAACACAGTGTTTGTGTAAGAATTAATCATTATTTATTTATTATGTACTGCGATACCACAAGAGGTGTGAATTGCTCGATGTGTAGTAACAAACTGATTGGTTTTGCAAACTAGCCTCTATTACGTCATCTGTTTGGGAGTGTTAAAAGGAGGTTTTAACCTTTAGCGTGTTTTTTTTTTTGTAATGTTGCCTTTACCTATTTTAGTTTAAGAGCTTGTACGGGGAGATACGATTGTATTTGTATTAAATACTTTTTCAATTTAATCGAGTAATAAAGCGATATCTGTATCGTCTGCATAGTAAGGTTTGTTGATATTCTTGATTATTTCTGCCCGCACAGTAAAGCTATGGAGCGATCTTTTGTCGTGCGATATTTTATGAAACTTGACCCCGTACTTACCTTCCTAAAAAGGCTGGCAACGCACTTGTGACACATTGAGTGTTGTGGGTGTCCACG